TAATAACTCTACTGCAAAGAAAGCTGATTAAAATAATTTTAAAAAAAGGAAGACTGAATGATTTAGCAGATAATAGAGCTTTCTTCTCTGGTGTTCACATGAAATATAGGTATTTCTCTTAAGTGGATGCCAAATCTACAAGTTTTTCACCTCATCCTTTTGGCAATGTGTGAGAACCCACCATCCTCTCCATCCTTACTGTTTCTATCCGTCCAGGTCAGTGCATCCACTGAAAAATGCACCTAAAAGCTATTTTAATCCTAAAACTATAACAACCCTCCCAGGGAAGCAAGGTGTTCTCCAGCCTTTCCCTCTTTTCATCTGCAGTGGGATTTGAGCCTGTGAGTTTAGCCATAGTGAATATACTTTTTCATGGAAGACTACTTTTCCACCACAGAATTTTGGGAAATGACTGACAATGAAATCTGATTTTAAAATTCCCTCTGCATATATTTTTCTAAATGATTTATTAGGAATACTTTTTTGATTGAGGATTTTAATGGAGGGTGATGAAGGTAAGGGATAGAGTCTCAAAGCCAAGAAAGTCAGACTCTGCCTTCAAATCTGGCTCCAACTACAATCTACGTGAGAGCAGGCCATTTACCCTCTTTGAGCCTCTGTTTCCTTGGCAGTGAACAGGAATGACAATGTATTAACTTCATAAGGTTGTTATGATCATCAGTATCAAATAATACGTGTTGAACAAATAGATCGACCCTGGCACACTATAAAAACTCAACAAATGTATTTGCAGTTATTGTTACATATAAAAATAACTTACTACAAAATCGACCCCATCTTCTGAATGCCAAGCCTTTCCCCCCACTTATTATATCATTTGTCAAATTCAAATTATTAAACTGAAAGAGCGTTACATTTTTGATAAAGTTATTTACCTTTCAAATTTCCTGGACTCACTTCTCACTGGCTAGGGAAAACATCTTTCTAGTTCTCAAGTGAAAAAAGAATTGAATGCTTGTCTAATACATGTTCAAGAATGTTAACATACCATGATTGTCTTTAAAAGTTAGGAATTCTGCCTCATATGCACTGTGATATAATTTATATCACTAATGAAGTTGCCTTTCATGTACACTCTCCTCACAACTGGTATTTAGCTTTATTGTTGTTTTTATCTCCCGCTTTGAAATTGTCAGGGGAAAAGTTCTTTGAAAGTATCTGCCTCCCTATACGGTTCTCACCAGTGGTGACTGTGGTCACCAGCACAGTGCCTAGTATTTAGTAGCCAAATGAACCACAGCAAGAGAATTCAACTTACTCCAAAACATCAGGCAAAGGCTCTGTATTATGCTAGAAATAAAAGAGAGAGATAAAGACCCCTGTTATGGGTAGAGTTCCCTGGGAAGCAGATCTGAGTGGAAGAGTAGCAATGGGCAGGTTTATTAGGAAGTGCTCTTGGGATCAATATCCCTGGGATGGAAGTGAAGAGAATAGATCTGGGCAGAGGGAGAAGCTGGGCTGTGTCACAGTCTCAACGGGGACATCAGCTGACCCTACAGTGAGTTCTGAAGCTGGGATGACCCTTCAGGAATGTCTCTCGTTTTGAGTGAGACGGTTGGGCCTTTATATCCCCATGTTAATCAGTCACAGGATGCCACCTCCTTGGGGACACAGCTCTCTTCAGCCCAGGTATTCTTTCAATGGGGCCTCACAGGTGAGGCTGCAGCAACACGCCCAGCACTTGAAGGGAGTTCTGGGTAGCATATCACAATGTCCACCCCAACCCCTATTCACAGCTCAGTAATAAATTATTGCAATTATCTCCAAAGGAATTTTACCTACATTTATTTACAGCCTATCCTGACGCTAGACAAATAGTTAATTGCCTTTCTGTATTGCTTCAATAAAATATTTACTACAATTTGTGCAGTTGCTGGCCAAAGAAACAGTAAATAAGACACAGACCCCATCATCAAGGAGCATGTAGACTAGTAGGGGAGACAAGCAAGTAGAAAGTTGTTGGGTTTTTTTTTCCTACTCTTGATGACAGGCAACCAGTTCTCAGAAATGAAGCTCTGAGGGATTCTACTTATTTCCATAGCTACCTGCCTTCCACTCAACCCCTTGATATTCTTCACTCTCTTCTCCAACTCATAAAAAAAGTTTTGGGAGTTCATAAAAGAGCAGGCAGGCAGCCCAAAGATTACGGAATCACCAATACTACTGGAATAAGTAGTATTGGGTACTTCTATAAACAACAGTGACTTAGCATATCTGAGAATAAAGCAACTCTGCTTAACACCTCCGATATGAAAGACCTTTGGCACCTTGTAGACATGGTCATAAAGGCTACAACTGGAGAATTACTGTGCCCAGCTCTGAAACTTGAATATTGATTCATACACATTGACAGAAAAACTGAGAGGCAACACAGGACCACCACATTGTGAAACGTGTCTTAAGAAAGATTTCTTTACATTCACTATAGCCACATCCTATATATACATAATAATCTTTTATATGCTTAAGACTCCTTTCTAACATCTATAAAATAGGATGGTATCATGTTGAGTGTAACAACAGTTCAGTGAAATTAAAACAGATTGAATATGTTGCACATAGACATAATCTGCATTTTTTAATAATTTAAGAATAAGACCAAAGCAGTATGGGCAAGAAATACACATTTATAGTAGACATAAAGACCATTTTTACTATCTCTGTATCTGACATTTAGGAGACCTCTGAACTTTATGTGAGTTACATGAACTTTTATGTTGAAACAAAGATGGCAATTTCCCTAATTTTACATTTAGTGATTGCTTACTAGCTTATTCGTTTGTTTTTTCTGTTTTTATGTATTCAGTGGATTTGGAGATGTAAAATATTTAAAGAAAAATTATTCATTTTTGTTCAAAGCAACACACATTAATTATACAAATCCAAATAAAATAGAGAATTATGATGAAAATAAGCAAAAAATATTCTAAATCCTTTTAAGTAGGTGTTTTTAATAAAGTAAAATTATCAACCAATCCACAAGCATTTATTTCAGGCATATAACACACTAGATACCATGCTGGACATTCAGGGGATGCAGAAAAGTATTATTCCCTGCCCTCTTGAAATTAATGGTCTAGAGGAAGGTCACGCAAAAACTGTAAGAAGTATGTAACAAGTTGCATACCAATAAATAAAGGATGAGTTGGTGTTAGCTATCTCCTTTTTCCTAAATGAACACTTATATTCATGAAAAACCATAATAAAATGTGGCTAGACCTTCTATATCATGCAGAACCCTCCAAAATGTATACATAACATCCATTTCCATTGTTCAATCTTCCCTTTAAATGTCTGCCTCTGACATATTTTCTTCCTCTTTGATGTGTTTTATTGTCTTCCGTCTTTGTTCCCTCTTCTTTCTTGGGTTACTTTATCTTCTCTTCCTATCTTCTTTAAAATCCTCAAGAAGACATTCTTCAGAATCCCTCCAGCGAAGTATTATTATAGAAGAGGCCAGGCTCAACAAAAGACTAGAGAGGCGTGGGTGCTTTTCCCTCCTCCAGAGTCCCTCTACATCCCGAGCCCACCCACTGCCATTCTCCCTCCCTTCTCCTCTTCCCCATTAGCTCTGGGGGGAGACCTACATTCTAGGTCTAACTTACCAGATATCTGGATACTTTAATAATGAAAATCATTTATATCTACTTTCCACTAGAAGCCCACTTACAGATGAGGAAAAAAAGGGATTTTTATAAGGAAAATGGCGTCCTAGATTTCAATTAGTATAAACAGCCTATCATATTCAAACTGTCTTATTGTCACGTGTAAAAATCACCAACAAATTCATTATTTGCAGTCCAAGAGCAAAGAAGCAACCAAACCATTCTATTACTGTCTTCAATAAGCATGTTGTTGACTTAATCTATTAATAATCACCAAATTAAAGTGATTTTCAGTCTGCCAATCATCAAGTCAAGTCATTCAACTTCTTTGGGCCTTAGCTTCCTCAATTGAAAAGTTTGGTCTTTGAATAGAATTAAATTACATTATTTCTGAGATGTAGAATTTTCTGATTCAAGTATTCAAAGGAATTGAAAGAACGCAAAGGTCACAGAAGTATGTCCTGCACTTAATAAGGGACCTGGATAACACACACACACACACACACACACACACACACTGCAATGATGCAAATGTGTTTGTGTACCAAAAGCTAATTACATTTTTTTAAAAGTACTGGCAGATTATAAACCCCGATTTTTACTTTTTAGATATATTATCATCTATCCACACTAGTGACCTTCCTTTAAAAATAAATAAGAAGGCTGAGCGTGGTGGGTCACGCCTGTAATCCCAGCACTTTGGGAGGCCGAGGCAGGTGGATCACGAGGTCAGGAGTTTGAGACCATCCTGTGAATGGTGAAACCTCGTCTCTACTAAAAATACAAAAAATTAGCCGGGTATGGTGGCGGGCACCTGTAGTCCCAGCTACTCAGGAGGCTGAGGTGGGAGAATGGTGTGAACCCAGGAGGCAGAACTTGCAGTGAGCCGAGATCACACCCCGGCACTCCAGCCTGGGCAACAGAGTGAGACTCTGTCTCAAAATAGATAAATAAATAAATAAATAAATAAGAAAATGTTTTATGACTAGGTCATATTAAACATGTTGATATGAGGTCTGACCCTTTCCCTTAGTCTCATCCACACGTGTAGTGCCTATAAACCAAGTGGTTTTAATTTGAAATATTATTTCAAAAATCTAAAAATAAGATAAGCTAAAGGGCATACACAGCCACAAGAAAAATGAGATTCCTTGCATATAAAGTAGAATAGTGCATTTTATATTAAATTTTTTTTACATGAACCTAAAAGGATGAATTTTTTAAAAAAGTTATTACAGTCTTTTCTATAATTTGGTAGACTTTGACTTTAAGGCTAATCTAGACTACAGGCTCTTGGCCTAAAATCCATGGATGAGGGTCAGGCCTGTGATCTAGGGAATTCATCAAATCTTGGAAATCAGGTGAAATATAGTGTGCGTAGATTCTTTCTTTAATGGTGAAAATGCAGTGCTTCCAACAGAAGGCGTTTTGAACCCAATATATTCAAGAAACACTGGCTTCTATTTCAAGTCCTTGTTTTAGTGATGAGGGTACTGAAGTCCAGAAATGGCTCGGGGTTGCTGGGGACCACAGCTAATTAGCTACTGTGCCAGAAATAGATCTCACATCTGCAGTGGGGCCATCAATCCAGCTCTTCCTTCTCCGCACGCAATAGATTAGTCATAAAATGGGATATGGAATCCTTTTTTCTTCCACAAAAAAAAAAAGAGAGGAGGATTGAAGTTATGAAATGAGATCTAAGGGAAAATGTCATAGAGGCATGCCGTGGAGATCAGAAAATAAACCCCAGCCCTGGATTCAAGCAATGGATGTCCTTTCAGTAGAAAGCAACAATTTGAGAACTGGCTTTTCCTATTCCTGTTTAATGCCCCCACCATTCCTGGTGAATTTCTTTTCCATTGCCTTAAAATTGTCTTTGGTTTATCTTCTCTTGTATCTCACAGTAGGCTTTCTCCTCGGGCTTGGGAATGCATTTTACCCCTTCACTCCCCTCCCCAACATTTATGTTTCTCATGGTTTCTTTCACTTCACATGAAATTTATGGCCCCCACATGTGCCTTTCTGTGTACCCTGAGAGGAGAGAGCCCTAATCTGTGGCATAGAACACATGAAGGGTTCAAGCCAACAGGATGAATCTGCCTGAATGTCCAGCAGACAAGAAGTGGCTGCGCTAGTTCTACCTGAGCACAGGTTTGCTGCAGCCACCTCACTGGCCCAAGAACCAAGCACACAAGGGCACAGGAGCATTGGAGAATCGATGGCACTCCATAGGAAAGTACCAGAAAGGGAAAGCCGACTCTAGTGTTTTTCCTCTCCTACTTTTCTAGCCTGTGAGAGAACAGGTTGAAGAGAAACTAAGCAGCAGGTAATGGCAGAGACTTGTTTTTGAGCAACTTACAACATGTTTCTCTCTTTTTACATCTTTTCCAGTTGGCTCACATATTACCCACAGAAGAGAATTTCCTGCTGCTCTTCCGATGCCAGCAGCTGAAGTCCTGTGAAGAATTCATGAAGGTATAAGAAAGCCGCCCCTTTAAGAAAGCTGCTTAAAGTAGGAAATTGTTCCTTTTATTAACAATGTGTTTGTTTTCCTTACCCAAAATTACTTGCAGACATGGAGAAAATATGATACTGACCACAGTGGCTTCATAGAAACTGAGGAGCTTAAGGTAAGCAAATAAAAACTTGTGCTAAGTTTTTCCTTTCAAATGCAATTATGAACTAAGAGTTTCCTAGCTTTTTAAAAAACCTCCCACAAAAGAAACTAATGTTGAACAGTGTCACATTTTCACCTACTCTTCGACATTGTTAATGAAGTACCAGATCAAAAAAGCAACTTCAATTGCTTCTTGAAATTCTGTAAAGTAATGCAAGAAATTAACATTTTCTATGGCATACACAAATATAAGACAGACAGACAGATAGAATTATAGATAAGCCGAAAAATCCATTCATTGTATTGAAATTTGTAGTTTTAGTTATCAAAATAAACACATATAAATAAATTTCCTTACAAAAGAAAGAAAAGTTACTGAATAGCTACTGTATGCTAACTACTTTACACATAATGTCTTATTTAATCATAATGCATAAGTTGTATGAGATTGTATTACCCCAGTGAGGAAGAGTTGAGAGAAGTTAAGTGATATACTGAAGGCCACACAGAAATCAGACAGAGCCTTGATGTGCAAATCCAGGCTTGTCTGCCTCCAAGGCCTGTAAACATTCTATACAACCTACTGTCTCTCAACAATGATAAAAAATAAAAATTCTTCTATAATTAAACTTTTGAAAAACTGCAACTTAGAAAATGAATTTATCACTTCAGATATCACAGAGGAGGATATAAAGGAAAAGACAGAGATCTGAAATCAAGTCTTACCTCATTAATTACTACATCTTTCCAATTTTCTTTAATCTTTAAAATGAGGGTAATAAATCCTTCCTCTCATGCTTATTGTGAAGCTCCAGTAAGATTCTGCACATGAAAGCTTTTGTGACATGCAACGTATAAATTGTAGTATTCATGAACTCAATTTACTAGCCTTTCAGGAATATGGAAGTATTCTTCTCATTTCCTCAAACCGACTCCAAAACATCTCCATCTTAAAGACCCTACTTTTTCTATTTTTAGAACACAGAGTGACTAAAATATAAGTGAGTTAATATTTGCTATGTGCCAGGCAGAGTACAAGGTGCTTGGAATGTATTTTAAAATTTAATCCTCACAGAAAAATATGCAAGGCAGGTATTATCACTCCTAATATAAAAACAGTGAGATTGGAATGCAGACAGATTTGATGATTTTTCAAGATTACACAGCTGCCTAGGAACAGAACCTAGATTTGGACCTAGAATATCTGGTAATGCTAAGAATGATTCCCTCCCACCCCCCACAGCACTACATGCTTTCAGACTTCATTTATTAAGAGCTGCTTTTTTGCTATGTGGGGAAATATGAATATCAAACAGTTCTAGTCATAGTTCAACATGGTTTGAGTAGCATACAATTTTAAAGATGAAACTGGGACATTTGGGCCATGGCAAAATGGCTAAACCATATTCAGTTGTATCCTCTTGAAAATGTAAACGTTTTTAATGTGAAGTCACTAAAAACAATGTATTTTACAAACTTGCAGCTCAACAACCCACAAGGTGACAGTTAAGCTACTGTGTTTTTATTTTATTAGACCAAAAATATTCTTTTAAAGATCCTTTTTAGTTAATAATGAAAACCTTAGCTCATTTCCAATACTGACCTCTAAATATTCTAAAAGTCTCCTTCTTTGTTCTAAATTTTATTCTCTGAAAGAGATTCTAAATAGAAGTCCTCTTCCCTGGGGAATTTTGAAGATAAGTTGGCATTCTTTTTTAATGGATCTTTCAAGAAAGCTAATTTTAAGATCCATAATGGAGTAAAACATCACTTGCTCTCAGACACAACTTTCAATCTCTGCGTGCCAAGGTTTCTCCCAGGCTATTTTTGTGACCACCATTTTAGTCTCTGATGAGGCTTTTTAACCCAATTAATCTCTGACAAAAGCCCCATAAGGCTCAAAAATAAAATTCAACCCCAACAGATAACTTTGAATTTTCCATGCTTCACTTTGGATTTGAAGTGGAATATTTGATGTAAAAAAATTTGTCAAACTAAGAAAAGAGTCTCTTTCCTTTAAAAAGGTGACATCAAATCAGCCCAGAACTGGAACATTTAGGAGGGAGATAAGTCATTGCTGAATCGAAGAAATCTAATCCTTCAATAATATCTGGGCACAGTATCTGCCTAGTTTTACCTAATTGCGTTAATTCATTTTCTGAGAAAATAAAGGAGTTACGAATGAATAGCACTAAACAAAATGAATGACTATTATATGCTTAAGTGCTTACACTGTCACTTATATTGCAAATCTTTGTAAAGCTTTTATTTGATTTACGTTTCTGTTAAAAAAAATAAATTCACTCCTAAGCTCCAGCTGTCAAGATAATAATCATCTTTTTTTCATCTTCCCACATTAATCTCTATTTTAATATGATTCATATATCTTTCAAAGATTCAATGACATCATCTGTGGCCAATTTTGTTAATTTAAATAGTCAGTGGAAGCATTTTAACTAAAGCGCTTTGGACTGCATCAAGCCAAAAACTATCCAACTGGCCCTCTGGAGAAACAAGCATCATGCTGGCTATAAACTGATGTGTAAATACAGCCTGGGGGGCAGAAAATGGATTTGAAATTAGAAATAGATCTCTATCAGGTTTACTGATATTTTTTCACACATATTCCAAAGGTATAAAGGCCCTTGTGTTTCTTGCAGAACAATCCCATGAGTACTTGTGAAGATATCAGCAAGAAGAAATACATCCATTGGGCTGGCTGGTTTTAAAAGGGTTTATTCAGATAAACTGAAATCATAAAATCATGGTAATGCACAGACAATGACCAATCAAGTCTCAGTAAAAAGCAGGTATTTTCCTGTCAAAGGTAGATTCGTTGCTGGAATGCCAGGAGGACCACCTGGTTTAGTCTTTCTTCTATTATAAGTCCCTCTACTCACCTGCTTCTACCCTCAAAAAGAGACTTTCTTGGCATTCCTGGTATGTCCTGTTCCAAGGCATTCTGAAATGAAAGTAGATGATATATTATTAATGAAATTAATCTAAGTGTTCTTTGTTTTGACAGAACTTTCTAAAGGACCTACTAGAAAAAGCAAACAAGACTGTTGATGACACAAAATTAGCCGAGTATACAGACCTAATGGTAAGACTGATCTTGAAAAGATTGTACCCAAGAGCTCATGAAGTAGTATGATGTTCTTGCTAACTCCCAAGGCTACACAGGATGAAATAAACGGTGGTGTGGGCATCATATGCATATAGGTGTCATTTCATTTGAAAAGTGAAATACTTAGGGATGCTTACATCTTGTCATTTTGAGTTCTGCAGGCATTGGCTTTAAGACTCAACATATGAGCATTTTCTTCATTGTAGAGCTATGTAATTTTTATCTATCAAAAGATGACTTGTTTTTCTTCCAAAGCCAGTGTAATTATATCACTAAATTATATAACTTACACATATATAAGGTACACTATATTTATAAATTATATCACCAAAAACTCACTTATTATAGAGGTCCTAAATCCATTTTTATCATACTTTGGGAAATCACACTTTGTTAAAGAGTTTAAAGGACTGTCTAGCTACTTTATTAATTAAGCAACTTAAAATGGGTCTCCTTCTTTCTTTTGATTTTTGTTGTTTTGGGGTTTTGTATTGGTGCTTTGAATAAGGAAATCTAAATATGCCCTGAGGCTAATGCTATGCTAAACAGTGATAACTAAGATCAATTATAGAATGTTGATAATAGAGCCAAGAAAACTGCTTTACACAAAGGCACCTACTGTTTGAGAGAGAGAGAGAGAAAAAAAGCAAATAAATAAGGTTCCAGATAAAATAAACCAATGTCTATGAAGTTAGTTTGTTTCTATTGGACGAAGTTTGCTCATTTTGACTCATCACAGAATTTGGATTACCAGGAGATACATATATTTATACATGCTTTCAGTACTGTGAATTCTTACTCCATGAGTTTAAATCAATAAACCATAAACATAGCTCTATACTATAAAAGCTACTGTTATATTAGATGGAAGAAGGAGTTAGACTTTTTAATTACTCTGAGAAACAATCTAATAAAGGGTTTGATTATACTTGATGTAACTGAGGTTTGCTTTCAGCATCTCAGCTTACTTTTATCTGGGTTGAAGTGGGGAACTACTAGAACTTTACTATTGCCTTATTCACCAACTAGTGTTATTTATTATAAAGTGGAGCTAAGCTTTAGTTTCAAAACAACCAAAAAGGTTTTCATGGTCATCTTTAATTCCTCATTACATCTCCACTTACAATAGCATTAGCAAACAAATGGAGGAGAGTATCTTGCTATGTGTCACAATCAGCAGGTCTAAGCTCTGAATAACTTTTGGGTAATGGACAATAACCTACATTTATCAATTTTCTATTTTGTTCCAATCTTAAGGGATACCTATTTAAAGAAAGGCACCTTTCCAGGTACAATATTGAAGCAGCCTTTCAAAATCCACTCAGATGGGAGTTTTCCTCTGTTGGATTGGCCTGACATATCTGATTAAATGTCATAAACCAGTTCAAATCCAGGAAGCAAATTAATCAAGAGCTAATTAAAATTTAAATATATATGTTGGGAAATATTTCCCCATGGGCACAAAACTAAGTGATTGAGCTGTCCAGCATCTTGATAGTGTGACAATATCAGAATTTATGGTCAATGGATTATAAAATGTTTTGTCAGCATGGGACCCTGAAAAAATCTGCCTCCTACAAAAGATTCTTAGAACATCTCAAACCATAGAATGCCTTTCCTTTCCTCCTTAAAAAGATGTCACTAAATCTGTATCCATTATAGCACTGGACACATTCTGTTCTTTTAAAACAAAAATAATGCTAATTTTTCACATATTTAATGTTCATTTAGTATACACATTTTATATATTTAATGTAATTCATATATACTACTTTGGTATAACACATTATAGCAATAGTTGCTACTGTCTAAAAAGATGAAAGCTTCCCAAATACGGGTATGAGTGTTTACATCTGGATGTGTCTTTGTGAATGATGTATACATAAGTGCAATGGAGAGTTGGAGAGCTTTATGGAGTTTCTAATGCCCAATAGAAAATAAAACAATTCAAAATTATTCAAAAATTATATTCTCTAAGGATTTATTTGTTATCTGTTTTCTGCTTCTGTTTGTGCTATTCTATGCTCTAAAAGGGTGAAATAAATATTTATTTTCTTATTGGAGACACTCCAGAAGTGCAAAAACTGTCAGACACCATCCCTCCCACATCTTGATACACATATAAACGTATTTGCAATAAAAAAGTGACAGTATTCTAGAAACATAGCTAAAACCACTATTTCTCTTTTTGACTATTCTATATTATTCTGATAAACTCTAGCAATTGACACATTACAGAATTGGAAATTTGCATTGAAAGTTTTAAAAACGTTAGTTTTTAAAATTTTACTATATATATATACAAGTAGTTGATAACTCAAACAGCTTTATTTTGAAGTTCATCTCCTTCATGCAATAAATTATTCCTCAAATAGCTAGAATAATGGCATTCTGTCTTTCAGCTGAAACTATTTGATTCAAATAATGATGGGAAGCTGGAATTAACTGAGATGGCCAGGTGAGTTTAGGAACCATGAAAAATGTTATAAGTGGATCCTTTTCAAAAAATGTAATATATTAATATAATGTTTTTCTCTCAAAAGGTTACTACCAGTGCAGGAGAATTTTCTTCTTAAATTCCAGGTACTTAACTTTTTAGTACCTTAAATAATTTTTCCTTGAAAAGCTAGACTGTGGGAGACTTGTCAAGGGAAACATACGGAAACATAGTAATAACATTTTAACATTTACTCTCTTCTCTGTCTTTAGGGAATCAAAATGTGTGGGAAAGAGTTCAATAAGGCTTTTGAGCTGTATGATCAGGTAAAAGTTTGTTACTTTTTTCCTTTCTTTTTTATTGCAGTAAGACCTCTTAATATATAAGATCTATCCTCTTAACAAATTTTTAAGTATAAAATACAGTACTGTAAACTATAGAGACAATTTTGACAGCAAATCTTTAGAATTTATTAATCTTAAGACTTTATGCCCATTGATTAGTAACTCCTCATTTCTCCTCCCCCCAGCCCTGGCAATAACATTCTATTTTATGAGTGTTAATATTTTAGATACCTCATACAAGTGGCATCATGCAGTATTTGTCTTGTGCTGAGATTGATCATATGCAGTTCTATTTTTAATTTTTTGAGGACTCTCCACACTGTTTTTCATAGTGGATGCACCATTTTTGCATTCCCACCAATGTACACAAGAGTTCCAATTTTTCTTCATTCTCACTAACACTTGTCTTTTATATTTTTGATAATGGCCATTCTAACAGGTGTGAGGAGATATCTTATTGTTAGTTTAATTTTTATTTCTCTTGATTAGTGATGTTAAGCATTTTTTCATTTACCTGTTGGCCATTTATATATCTTCTTTGGGTAAGTGTCTACTCAAGTCATTAACCCATTTTTTAAATTGGATTATTCATTTTTTGCTATTGAGTTATAGGCGTTCTTTATAAATTTTGGAAATTAACCCTTTTTGGGATGTGGTTTACAAATATTTCTGTATTCTGTAGGCTGCTTTTGCACTCTGTTGATTGTTTCCTTTGCTGTGCAGCTTTTTAGTTTGATGTAGTCTCGCTTGTCTATTTTTGCTTGTGTTGTCTTTGCTTATGGTTTCATATCCACGATATCATTGCTAAGAACAATGTCATAAAGGTTTTATACCTTATGTTTGTTTGCTTCTAGGAGTTTTACAGTTTCAGATCTTATATTTTTTAATCTATCTCAAATTTATTTTATATAGTGTAAGCTAAGGGTCCAATTTCATTCTTACGCATGGGGCTGTATAGTTTACCTAACACCATTTGTTGAAAAAAGCTATCCTTGTCCCATTTTGTGTTTTTGGCACCCTTATCAAAGATCAGTTGACCATAACATGTGAAACTGAGAGCTCACTAGTCTATGTTTCTATTTTTGTTTCAGTGCTATACTGTTTTAATCACTGTAGCTTTGAAACATATTTTGAAATCAAGAAGTGTGATGTCTCCAGGTTGGTTCTTCTTTCTCAAGATGGTTTTTGGCTATTTGGGATCTTTTCTGGTTTCACATGAATTTTAGGGTTTTTTATTTCTTTTTTATTTACTTCTTTTTTTGAGACGGAGTCTTGCTCTCACCCAGGCTGGAGTGCAGTGGTGCAATCTTGGCTCACTGCAAGCTCCACCTCCTGGGTTCACGCCATTCTCCTGCCTCAGCCTCCCGAGTAGCTGGGACCACAGGCGCCCACCACCACGCCGAGCTAATTTTTGTATTTTTAGTAGAGACGGGGTTTCACTGTGTGGGCCAGGATGGTCTCGATCTCCTGACCTCGTGATCCACCTGCCTCGGCCTCCCAAAGTGCTGGGATTACAGGTGTGAGCCACCGCGCCCAGCCAGGGTTTTTTATTTCTGTAAAAATGCCATTGGGATTTTGGAAGTGATTGCACTGAATCTGTAGATGTGTTTGAGTAGCATAGACATTTTAACAATATTAAGCCTTCCAATCCATAAACACAGGATGTCCTTCCATTTGTTTGTGTCTCTGTTAACTTCTTTCATCAGTGTTTTGTGATTTTTAGTGTATAAGTTTTTCATCTCAGTTAACTTTATTCCTAAGTATTTTATTTTTTTGGTGCTATCGTAAATGGGGTTTTCTAATTTTCATTTCAGATGGTTTATCATCATAACTAATTTTTCATTGTTAATTTTGCATCCTACAACTTTATGGAATTTGTTTATTAATTCCAACAGTTTTTGTGAGGTCTTTAGGGTTTTCTCTCTATAAAAATAATATCTGCAAACAGGGATGATTTAACTTATTTCTTTCCGATTTGGATGCCTTAAAATTGTCTTATCTATAATTTGATTCTTGAGAAGAATCTGGAAAAAATGATTATGAAAATTACACAACCAACTCATTCTTTTCATAGGAAAGGTATTATGGTATGCCCAAACTACACAAACCCCTGATTCGAATCCCACACTATGATTTACCTGCTTTGAGACTTTGAACAAGATACCAAACTCATGTGAGCCTCAATTTTTTCATTTGTAAACAAGAGATAATAATAACACCACTTTGCAGGATTAAATGAGGATTAAGCTAGGTGAAAATATCCAGCAAGATAAAGGTTATTTGTGATGTCACTAGGTCACATCCTTTGCTTCTAATTTGTTTACTCCTGGACTGTGGGCTCTAATAGAACTCTGCCACCACCCGGTGTGACATGGAGCCACATACCTTCCCCAGCCCTCAGTTTCCTCACTTGTCCTAGAAGAAGATATGATATTGTTAACATTAAGTGAATTACATGTGTAAGTACTTTGAAAAGTTCAAGATCTTTTACAAATGTAAGGTGTTGAATGAGAGGTAACTAATACCTTGCATATTTTACAACTTTGGAGCAGCTAAAAACTTGGGTGGTCTGACCTAACAGATTATCTGCCAAATATGCAGTTGGGAGACTTTCTAAGGATTCCTATTATTTCCATTTTACTTCATTTCCCACTACTGTCGATGGAGTTGGTTGTATAATATTTTATTTCTCCTCCCCCAGGACGGCAATGGATACATAGATGAAAATGAACTGGATGCTTTACTGAAGGATCTGTGCGAGAAGAATAAACAGGTAACTTACTTACCATGGCACTTACTCCTTTAAGCAGACTCTATGGATCCATCCAAAACCAACCGCACATAATCTACTTTAAAAATTTATAGAGGAGCAGAAATAGAATTCAATTCTTAACTCAATTTGGTTCTGGCCTAAATCAGGGTAACTGTAATAAATAGATTTTTAAAACAACCTTGTGATTATTCACATTTGTATAAGAATTTAATCCAGCTCTTTTGTTAATGGATTGATGTAACAAGTAGTTTCATCTCGAATTTTATCATTTGACAGTGGTTAATTAACTTCCATATTTAACTGGATTACAACGCCATTTATGTTTATACAGGAGCTGGATATTAATAATATTACAACATACAAGAAGAACATAATGGCTTTGTCGGATGGAGGGAAGCTGTACCGAACGGATCTTGCTCTTATTCTCTGTGCTGGGGATAACTAGAGTTGGTGGTCGCAACCACTTGCTAGTGATACACTGTATCTAAAAAATAACTGTGCACTATAAGGGAGTAGGCTGTATTTTGTTTTATATCTGTAAATTTAACTGCATATAGATAATTATCCAGGATGTGTGGCTCATTCTTTTCAGCTTGTTTCTATACTGTTTGTAATATACAGTTTTTGTAACCATATGATTGAAAAGAAGAAAGTCTATGCTTAGGCCCGTCAGTACACCCAGTTTTAAAAAATAACATATTCTTGCTTTCATAAATATAGTTGAACAAGATTTCCCTAAAAATTCCACCAGGATTAATTTCTAAAATTCTAGTCTCTGATGTGCAAATGCACATTTGTCACTGAATAATGGAATTATGTATGACAAGCCAAACATTCTTATTTTAGACAATCATAGAACTGTCCCACAAAATATTTCTAAGCTTATTCCCAACTATTAGGAAGAATGTGCTTTTGCATCTAAAATACTCACCAAAATATAAATAAATAGTTAATTGTGGCTTTATGAAGTTAACAGTCTCATTACAGATTTAGTTTACCAATCAACAGCATGTCTACTGCTTGGATCCATACAAAACTATCAGTTCAAGTTGATACGGTGACAAGGGAAGGGAGCACCAGATGACACATAAATCTGTCTGATTCTATGCCTGTATTTCCAACAAGCCTACTGTCAGAGAATATGACCTAAATCCATTTTCTAAACTGTTTTCACGTGTTGCAGATAATAATTATTCTAGTCAACTGCTGTTTCATGTCATATTCTGTGTAATCTCTGATTAAATCTAATATACTGCATATCCTGGTGTCTAGTTTGCATACTTCCTGGATTTTCTTTCTATGTAGAACTGTTCATTTCCACCAAGGGTATCTGCTGCCTCTGAAAATATTTTTTTCTAGCTATAACAACTCTATTTTTTACTACATAATTAAATTTTAATGTAAAATTCATAGCATCTTGATTATTGAATGTCATATCATCAATACTTTTGTGTATTCTGTGGATTCTATATTTCATATTGAGATCAGCATTCAAAATAGTTCTATTTCTATCTGCAAATAGTTTCAAATGAGTTTAAAAAATAACATCTGAAAAGAAATGCTAACGTAATCATTTATCTTATCTAGCAAGAAGATTCTAAAACATTCTTTAACACACATCTAAGTCACAGTTTCACATATTTGTAGCTAGAATATCCTATACTGGTTATAGTTGACATGTAACAGTTGGTGATTTTAGATTTCTTTGATTGTGAAACAGGGAGCTATGAAAGATGTGTCCATGTGAAATTTACAGTTACTGCCTAGGAGTTAATGATCGTTCTGGGTCAGCTTGAATGTCCCTGTTCTATAAATACAACACTTATTTTCTGAATTCATAAAAATAACAAAAAAAAATGTGAACTATAATGTTTCCCTCAAGAACAAACAGAAACAAGATCTGCCAAAAACTAAAATTCATCAAATGATGTTGAGTAGGAGATTGGCTTTGCCTTTAGCGTGTAAATGGAAGCACTGCCATTAGACTGAGTTTAACTACTAAGAATAAAGAAAGAAGAAAATAACCTTAATCTCTTGTATTTGTTTTTTTCTTCAAAATGTCAGCTGACATGCAATCCATGATGGATCCAGGTGGAAATGTAGGATGAAATTATTATGGTCTAAGGAATCTAAATAAACATAAATGTGACTCAGTGAACTACTGGATACTTCGTTGAATTGAGGGGTGTCTCTAACATTAAAATTTACAAAGAAATCTCAAAATTTCCAAATATTTGAAGTTTTCTGCCCAACTGACATAGTCAAATACTTAATTTTTTTTTTTTTTAAGACGTAGTTTCACTCTGTCGCCCAGGCTGGAGTGCAATGGCATGATCTCGGCTCACTGCAACCTCTGCCTCCTGGGTTCAAGTGATTCTTCTGCCTCAGCCTTCTGAGTAGCTGGGACTACAGGTGCCCGCCACGACGCCCAGCTAATTTTTGTATTTTTAGTAGAGATGGGGTTTAACCATCTTGGCCAGGCTGATCTCGAACTCCTGACCTCATGATCTACCCGCCGTCGCCTCCCAAAGAGCTGGGATTATAGGCATAAGTCACTGTGCCCAGCCCATAGTCAAATATTTCTTCTTG